AGGTGGCTCGGGCATCTGATTAGGATACCTCCCTGATGAGCTGTTCTGGGCATGTCCCACTGGGAGGAGGCCCCGGGGAAGACCCAGGACATGCTGGAGGGACTATGTCTCTTGGCTGGCCTGGGAATGCCGTGGGATTCCCCCAGAGGAGCTGGATGATGTGGCCAGGGAGAGGGAAGTCTGGGTTTCTCTGCCGAGACTGCTGCCCCCATGACCCAACCTCGGATAAGTAGGAGAAAATGGATGGAAAATGGACGGATGGCAGCCAGCCTGGCTACATGGATCATGTCTAGACAGCAAGTAGTTCTGGGATAGGGTACTGTTCTATACAAGTGTAGTCACTGTACATGAAGTTTCAAGTGACACAAGTCTGCCTAACTTATGCAGTTTCACATATTCACCCCCTCTCCCACCCAAAGCTAATACTCCACACCCACTTTTGTTTGTTGTTACAGACAACAGGACAAGCAAAATGTAAAGTCACCACCTTTTATTAAGGCACAATTCCACAGAAGCTGTGAGAACACATTCACCCACTAGGCACAGCTTTCCATCACCACTGGCCAGCCATGTATCGGCCTCTGGGGGCCACCAGATCGATTTCCCCACTGGACACCACAGCCTTCTCATGGGAGGAGGTCTTGCGTACAGCAGCAACATCCCTACCTGAAATGCAGGGAGGCAGGAGTCAGACACACAGCCATTCTGAAGGGGAAGCCAGCCAGCCTGGAGCTCACCTTTCCTGAAGCACCTCTGCTCACAGCTGTCAGTGGCCGAAGGGCGGCACACAGCTACACTGCAGTGGATGAACCCCTGCAGAGACACAGCAGGGCTTGCATTACTCCACATTTACAGGCTAGCCAACAGCCACAGCTCAGTGCCGTTACCTTCCCCCGGTAAAGTTGCTGGGAAGCTGGGTCCACAAATGTGAACATCTTGACAATGAAGCGCTTGTAGTGGGTTGGGAAGGGAAGCCCAGAGGAGCCATCCACAGGAACCAAGGTGGTCTGGTACTTGTCACCCTGGTAGGGACACCTGTACCAGGACCTCAAGTAAGGAAGGCTCATTTCTTGGTGGTAGTACCCCCACAGGGGCCAGCTTGTCACTCACCCATCAACCAGGAGGCTCCACTGAGGCAGGCTCAGAGGGTCAAGGCCAGCTGCAGCCCAGCAGTCCTCCAGAACCAGGACAAGGTTGGGGTCTGTCCTATTCAGGATGCGAACCTCTACATACACAGGCTGCCGCAACACCTTGGTAATAGGGTAGTCACTGTCCTGGTAGTAGGAGGTATATGCAGCAGCTCCTGCACAGATACCA